ACAGAGCGGAACACTTCAATGAACAGAGCGGAACACTTCAACGAACAGAGCGGAACACTTCAACGAACAGAGCGGAACACTTCAACGAACAGAGCGGAACAATTCAACGAACAGAGCGGAACACTTCAACGAACAGAGCGGAACACTTCAACGAACAGAGCCGAACACTTCAACGAACAGAGCCGAACACTTCAACGAACAGAGCCGAACACTTCAACGAACAGAGCTGAACACTTCAACGAACAGAGCGGAACACTTCAATGAACAGAGCGGAACACTTCAACGAACAGAGCGGAGCACTTCAATGAACAGAGCGGAACACTTCCACGAACAGAGCGGAACACTTCAACGAACAGAGCGGAACACTTCAACGAACAGAGCGGAACACTTCAACGAACAGAGCGGAACACTTCAACGAACAGAGCGGAACACTTCAACGAACAGAGCGGAACACTTCAATGAACAGAGCGGAACACTTCAACGAACAGAGCGGAACACTTCACTTCAACGAACAGAGCGGAACACTTCAACGAACAGAGCGGAACACTTCAACGAACAGAGCGGAACACTTCAACGAACAGAGCGGAACACTTCAACGAACAGAGCCGAACACTTCAACGAACAGAGCGGAACACTTCAACGAACAGAGCGGAACACTTCAACGAACAGAGCGGAACACTTCAACGAACAGAGCCGAACACTTCAACGAACAGAGCCGAACACTTCAACGAACAGAGCCGAACACTTCAACGAACAGAGCTGAACACTTCAACGAACAGAGCGGAACACTTCAATGAACAGAGCGGAACACTTCAACGAACAGAGCGGAGCACTTCAATGAACAGAGCGGAACACTTCCATGAACAGAGCGGAACACTTCAACGAACAGAGCGGAACACTTCAACGAACAGAGCGGAACACTTCAACGAACAGAGCGGAACACTTCAACGAACAGAGCGGAACACTTCAACGAACAGAGCGGAACACTTCAACGAACAGAGCGGAACACTTCAACGAACAGAGCGGAACACTTCAACGAACAGAGCGGAACACTTCAACGAACAGAGCGGAACTCTTCAACGAACAGAGCAGAACACTTCAACGAACAGAGCGGAACACTTCAACGAACAGAGCGGAACACTTCAACGAACAGAGCGGAACACTTCAACGAACAGAGCGGAACACTTCAACGAACAGAGCGGAACACTTCAACGAACAGAGCGGAACACTTCAACGAACAGAGCGGAACACTTCAACGAACAGAGTGGAACACTTCAACGAACAGAGCGGAACACTTCAACGAACAGAGCGGAACACTTCAACGAACAGAGCGGAACACTTCAACGAACAGAGCGGAACACTTCAACGAACAGAGCGGAGCACTTCAACGAACAGAGCGGAGCACTTCAACGAACAGAGCGGAACACTTCAACGAACAGAGCGGAACACTTCAACCAACAGAGCGGAACACTTCAACGAACAGAGCGGAACACTTCAACGAACAGAGCGGAACACCTCAACGCGGACGCCCAAACGTCCTCCGTCGCAAATCCCTCCCAGCTTTGACGTTCCTCCTGAAAGGCATGGCTGAAGTAAACATCATCGCGCACGAGAACTTCAACGGAGATGCTGCGCGCATCCCAGCGAATAGAAAAATAGCAACGAGCCACAGCAGTGCGACTGCGGTCATGCAAGCACAACAACCGAATCGTAAACCCATGGAGACGGTTGGCTACGTACGGTGCGAAAGAAGCCCAATATCCACGCATGAAACACAATTTTTGTTTATGCTTACATGACCACAGTCGCACTGCTGTTGGTCGTTTGTCAAACCAGTGGAGGTCTGCGCTCCTCCAACGGGGGAATGATAGAGCAGCACCGACTCTGCTGAGGGCACTTGTAGCGAGCAGACCTCGACACTGGCATTCAGCCCCCGAACATGTCCAAGATGCCATCATTCGCACGAGTCTAAGAGTGTGGGATCAACGACAAAGATGGCCCCGTAGAGCTTTTTGACAGACTGTTGGGGCAAGTGTGCTGTTAAAAATAGCAGCACCCTTCAAGGTCGGGACGCGTGAGAGGCTGTGTGGTGTGGCAACAACCACCCCCGGCCGTCTTTGTATCCCCGGTGCTGATGGGGTTTTTTTACACACCGCACCGGGTATTTATTTGAAGGCTGAGTCTACCTAGGGGAGGTCCAATACCGGTTCAAATAGTCAGCGACGGTGACAGTGAGCGGGAATCGAACTCGCGTCGTAGGGTTTCGGAGCCCAGCGCTCTAACCGCTGCGCCACCACTCCCCAAACATGTCTCACCTCCCGCAGTTACCCCCCACCGCATTGCTACATTGAAGGCAGATTACGTTTTCTCGGTATGATTTTTGACGCATGCGATATATTGTATCACAGAATAAGGCTTCGCCAAAGTGCAACTGCAATTTGAAAAGTGCAATTCAGCAACGTGGCCATCGCCACCCACATTCTGTAGCACAGGTGCTCCT